AGTGAAAACAGTGCTCAATGTATTGTCTGATTGGTCCTATTATTGAAATTATAATTAATATATTATTATTATCGTTAATTAATAATATTATAATTATTATTAATAATATTTTATTTTATTACCTGAACTCTTATTGATTCAAAATAAAATAAATTGGCATGCAAAGAATTTTTAAGAGCAGATGAATCAAATGAATCGTTTTCACGTGCAAAAAAAATTAGTTGTACAAATTTTAATTGCCTTTTGACTATTATTGTTATTGTTATTATTAATATCCATATATATGTTGTTATTAATATTTTAATAATGACAATGATAACAATTTTTTTAAAGTCTACCTTTACTTAATTTACTTATTTCAACTAATCCTTCAAAATTAAGAACTAATTTTGTAAAATTTCGTTGAAATAATTGATTTCTTTCGATCGATGGAATTTTAAGCCACTAGCAATAGCAAAAATCATTGTTTAATAATTTTATATATATTTAAAAAATTTAGGTTAAAATAATTTCAAATTTAAGAAAAGAAAACTTAACCGACTTTCAATCTTGTTCCTCTTTGCCTGTTAAAAAAAAACGGAGGAAGATTTAATGGCAGATTTAAAATCTGAAGTATAAACCGACGAAAATGTGATAAAACATTCTAAATAAAATATAAATATCCAAAAGTTAATAATTATTATTAATAAATAAAGAAATTTAATTTGACTACTTACAACTGTATCTTTAATTCCTTGGAGTTGCTTAACACGTTTCAAAATATCAATACATTGAAATCTTAAAACAGACTGTGTTTTATTCTTTTTTCTTTTGTAAGAATTAATTTCTTGTATTTTATCAGTTTCATTCTGGTAATTATTGTCAGAATTTGTAAGCTGGATCAATGAAAGTAACAATGGATTTATTGGTTCTTCACTGTTTTTTTTTTACCCCCCAAAAATTTAATAAAATTTAATATGTATATAATATAATATTTCAATATTTCAATATAATAAAACCTACTTTGGTGAGTTAAATAGACATTGAAAGGCGTATAATAGTACTAAACAACATATTTGATATGTTAGAAAATGATTAAGAATGAATATATTATGTGATTTTTAATTAAACTTTTTCCTTAAAAAAGCCTAAAGGATATGATTCCAAAATTTCAAAACTTTCTTTATCAATATCATAAAATGAATAAGCAACAAAACTATGTAAATTCGCTAAATCGTTAAGAATTTTTTTAGGTTGAATCTAAAAATATAAATACACACACATATATTAATTGTTTATTGAACAAAATTTGAAAATGACAATAAAATAACAATAAACCTACTATGTCAAAGTCAATTTCTTGTGATTTAATTTTTAAGAGAAAATTTAATCGAGATAAAATAAGTTTCACTTTCAAAAAAAATTCGACTCGAAGTTGACAAAACCATCTTGCAAAAATTCTGTGATCACTTGTATCTGTAAAAGACATGAATCCCTATAATATATATATGTGTGTTAAAATACACGAACATAGGCATATAATATATACAAACATATGTATTGATTGCATGTACATTTAATTCAGAGTCTCCTTTTACGTAAAGTCGTACAGGTTCATTAAAGTTTCCATCGTCGAATGGATTTATATCAATATTGTGAGCAATTTTTTGTTCAGCATCAGCGACGTTACTCAAAGATTTAAGCCAAAATCTAGGTGCTTCAGAATCAACCTTTGAATATAATGTTAATGTATCAACTATTTATCAATCAATCAATCTATTTTATATATTTTTTTTTAATTGAATTGAAATACCTCATCAACAAATGATTGAAAAATAGATGACATGATGTTGTAACAACCAGATTTACCGGCCTCTACTCCAATCAAATAAACATCCCATTGATTTTTTGTGAACCTTTTTGTAATATAATTTCCAAATTGGTGAATTGCTTTAAGAAGCGTATTACTAAATTCTTTTATTTGTGATGTAAATTCAGGTCGTGATCTTAATGCAGTCTTTGCAAGTAATCTCTAGAACAAACAAATACATATGCGTATTGTTGTTATTATTATTATTAAACCATTAAATCGAATATATGTATTTATTTATTTACTTACAAAAGAACGAGGCAAGTTTATTAATTCTTCGGAACTTAATAATGATAAAATTTCATCCTGAAATCCTTGCATGATTGTTCCTCTTTGATCACTTGCCATTAAAAGAAATTTGAGTAATTCAGAAAACAACGTATCTAAATTTATAAGCATATATATAAATAAACATTTTATGCGTACAACTATATATAAGTATATATAACATACCAACATCATGGCCAATATTTTCCTTCAATAAATCAAAAATATCACAAATTACATTTTTAGCCAAATCATCATTTGTCAGACATATTGAAAACAGGCACTTGAGCAATTCTTTAAACTATATTAAAAAAAAAAAGAATAAAGAATTAGAATAAAGAATTATAAGAAAATAGAAAACAGAAAATCAGATCAAATCAAATCATTTAATTGAATTTAATTGAATTGAATTAGAAAGTTAAATAAATAAATAAATAAATAAATAAATAAATAAATACAATATTCAAGTGTTTTTCACTTTTATCTATATCATTAGTGACTTGAGTATTATATGATGCCTTCATCAATTTCTTTATAATTAACAATATTGACTTACTAATCTTTGAAGGGAGATCTTTGAGATATATGTCTAAATTCAATAAAATCAATTAAATCAATAATAATAAGTAATCAAATAATTAATTAATCAAATTATTGATAATTAAATGCACACACACCCCACTCATCTCCTATTTTTATAAACTGATCTAAATCTCTGATATGTTCATATTCTATTATCAACCTTACAAAGAACCTAACAAAAACGATAGTAAGATCCAACATATTTTGCTGAATATTCGGTAACATATCTTCAAATATTTGAATATAGTGAAGTATCTCTATACGAACATCTTGATCTAAATCAATGGAGATTAGGTTGGTAAGTTGGCCTGGATTTTGTTGTAATAATGTTGATAAAACATTTAATGCTTTGATTTTGATAATATCATCAGATTCACTATCTATGATATTTAATAAATTCTAAAAAAAAATCAACAATGATTATTATTATTACTGCCATTACTATTCTTATTATAAACAATAATACTAACTAAAATATTTGTTGCATCAAATCTAAAGTTTTTAGATGCCAATCTATTCAAATCAGTTAGTATACTAATTTTAACTCTTTTTCTTGCATCATCCATTAAATATTGAAATAAAAGGTCAATCTATATAAAGAAATTCGAAAATTAATAATAGTAATACGATTCGTAAGAAATTATAAAATGAATCAATATTTAAATTACCTGACTAGCAGTATACTCAAGAGCATGACATGACAAGAATGTCAAGGTTTTCAAAATTGTTATAACATAAACATCATCTGAATGCTTCTCGAGCAGCTGAATACACATAGACCTTGCCTTTCTAGCTAAATTCTTATCCCAATGCATGTGTCTTAAGACTCTTATTAATTTTAATTTAAAATCTAATTGTAAATTATCAGCTTCAAAATAATAATAAATAATAATAATAAATAATAAAAGTAAAAAAAAAGATTAGTATCATTTAATTAAAAAAATTTACGAGAAGAAACTTTAAATAGACATATAAATACATTGAAGTTTTGAAGCCAATTTTTCACATAAAATAACAGAAAATTTTTCTGTTTTTGAGGAAATTTTATCAGCCGCAAAAATTGCAGCATTTGCTTCTATTGGTATAGGAGAATCAAGTCGTTGAAGTATTCTATACATTTAGAATCAATAGTTTTAATAATTTTTTCTAAAAAATTACTATATAAAAGATGAAATAATTAAATACCCGTGTTGAATATCCAAAAGCTCTGTTAATAAAGTCGATATATAACCAAGGGTTCTTTTGTATGTTAAAATAGATTATTTTAAAAGTTATAAATAAATAAATAAATACATATATTAAAGAAATCAAATCAAACCTTAAAGCAAGTGAACGAGCTATTGGATCATTGCTTTGATTTTCTAAAAGAAAGAATATACTTTTAATAATTTCTTCATATTTGGGACCAGTATTATTTGTAATATGATTTTCAGCTTCTTTGAAAACCTTTAGAATGCAACGACGAGTTTTATTATTTTCACTAAACAATAACAATTAATAATAATAAAAGTGTAAATAATATCTCTATATAATAATAACAAAAGAAGAGGAAAAAAATTAAATTGTTGAATTGCTATCGTTACCATTCTTTAAAAGAAACTGCTAAAAAAACCAAAGTCTCCTCAGAAATATGTGGAATTGTTTCTTCTAAAATACTTGGAACTTTTATAAGCACATCGTCAAGAATTTTACTTCTTAAAACGTTATTCAGATTGCTTGCTATCATGTATTTTGATTGATGAGCGCTGTTGCTAACAGTTTTATTTGACGGATAACCCTGTGAATATTAGTGAAAGTGTCAAATTTTTTTCTTCTGTAGATCAATTTATTGAAAACACGTAAATTTATCATTTATTTATTGGGAAAGAATAATTACAGGAAAAATTTAAAATTTCGTACATATCCTGCAGTAAAACAAGTGTAAAATAGGATTAGATATAGCATATTCAAGTTGATAGCAATAGCAATAGTAATAGTGATGGATGGTAATAAATGAGAATAGAATAAATAACCATAGAAACTTAATTATCTTAAATGAAAAAAAAAAAATGTAAATGAATGAATTAAAGAATGAATATATTTAAAACTTACTACTAATAAATATTAAAGGAGGAAAGGAAAGAAATATAAATATAAATATGAATATCATATTTATATTTATTATATGTGAAGGTAAGATGATAGTGATTAATGATTTGGATTTTAATATTGTTTTTGAGCAAAATGTCTATAAGATTTACAAAAGGTTTTATTTTTGTTAAGTTCATCATGTATACTTTTAAACATCTCATGGAATTCTTGCTCGGATAAGTTCAATACTGGTAATATGTAAGGTTTTAATGGATCAACAATTAATTCAATGTTTTTCAACATCTAGAATGAAATAATAAAGTTAAAATGTTAGGATGGAGAAATCATTATTGTTGTTGTTATTATTGTTATTATTTGATAATTACATATTCACCAACTTTGCCACCCCAAGAACCAATAGGATTCGGACGTTCTTGAGAATGAACAGTAATCAATTCAGATTTCTGATTAAATAGTAATGGAATTTCAAATAACATTTTTCTATTTATTCCTTTTGACAATAATAGTGTTGACACTAATATTAATAATAAATTAATGACTAAGTTATTAAAAATTTAATACTTTCTTTAAAAAAAATGGCAAAAAATACTTACTTGATTGCAGAAAAAAAGTTGAAATTGGACCTGTATCATAAGGCAAAGGATCAACATCCCTGTTAGAAAAAAGAATGGAATTAAATTGATTGATTGAAAATAAGAATAGACATGTTATAATGAATATGAGAATAATTTCCTACATTAATTCAATCCATCCACCAGGTTTAGTAATTCTTATTAATTCTAAATAATCAGAATAGAAAAAAAGCATTAAATAAAAATGAATACTTTATTATTACTTTAATCAAAAGAAAAGAAATACCTTCTATGTGTTTCATCCGTTTATTTTCAGGGATAAAAAATACCATAAATTTTTGATAGACAAAATCAAAGGTATCATCTGGGAAAGGCAAACCATTTTCACTAAGAGCATCAAATTTTAAAAAAGCAACGTTTGTGGGTTTATTTGAATCGTAATCATTAGGGAAAACGGGAGAAATATCAATACCAACAAAATTAGCATTAGGATATTCCTCGGCCATTTCTAACAACCAATGGCCAGGGCCACAACCTATATCCAAAACTTTTGCTTTATCATTTTTTGCGGGTGATGACTTTAAAACATTATTAACAGGAGAGGAAAAATTACCATTCCAAATGAAATGATAGATTATATGTTCTAAAGTTAAACGCTCAATTTCTTGTTTATCGTTTGGCAGGAAATAAGATGCAGTAGGTACATTATGATAACGTCTACCATTGACATAAAGAAATGGATCTAGCAAAAAATTTTCTTGATTTGAATTGGTTTTTAGATGAAATGTATTTGTTGTTAAAGGTGATAATGGTGGTGATTGTAACATTGGTGGTTGCGGAGGCAATGGAAATGATTTCGTTGTTGATGGTGATGATGATGATGATGATAATGATAAAGATGAAGAAATAATATTAAGAGTGGTTGTGGCAGATAAGGGAGTGGCAATAGTAGTAGTAGTGGGAGATGAAGGATTGTTGATATTATTATTAATGCCAGTATTAATGGTAATTTTATTGATGCAGTTATCATTTTCGTTATTTGAGGCGATTGTGGTAGAGGTATTGACAATTATCTGTTTTGATGAAGTAACGGTAGCATTATTATTAATGATATCATGGTCAGCAATAATCTCTTTATCATCACCATCATTGTTGATGTTATTTTTAATATTAATATTAATGCTATCTTTATGATTTGTAGTTTTAAACATTTCAAAAAAAGTAGTATTGACAATAGAGCTTTGAACGAGAATTAAAATTTTTTTTAAAAGACAAAAGCCAAGAGCGGAGAAAGAATGAATGAAAGCAATTAAATAAATAATTAAACAAATAATTAAATATTTGTAAAAAAAATAGCTTGAAACTTTTATATTAATATATATATACATAAAAATTTTTTTTTTTAATCAATAGGTGCATTAGTATTAGGAAATACTGTAAAAGGAAAAATAAATAATACTGGTAAAAGAAAATTTATTCTTCTTTGGGATTATAAACAAACAATTGCCATTATTTAAATGTAGCCAATGATTTCCAAGTTGAATCCTTGATAAAGAAAATCGTGTGTATGTATGTAAGATTACTTATATTACGAATGTGTAAAATGTAAATGTAAATGTTAATTGTATTTACTAAATTAGGTTAATTTTAAAATTCATATGTTTATTAATAAAATAAATAATATAAATATTACATTATAATGATTTTTTTGATTAATTAAATTAAATGACGAATTATTTATATTTTCATCACGATTTGCAAAAGTAAAATTTGCAGTTTCTGTTTTCATTGCTGATAACAGTTTTGTTTTAGTTCCTAATCCAGTCAATAAACCTGAAGATTCTTCTGATTCTTGTTGTTGAGGTGGTGGTAATGGAATCGGTAGGATGGTAAATGGACCAACAATGTCGAATATGATTTCATACGAGTTTGTTAATTCAACATCTAAATAGAATGAACTTGAATTACGTATATTAGGTGATAAAATTATTTGAATGGGATATTGAAATGATGTGATATTTGTTGTTGACTCATTATTACCACCATTACCACTATTGTCATTGCTATTAATATTATGGTTATTGTAAATAATCATTTTGTAATCCCATTTCCATTCTTCATTATGATTAATTGTTAAATTAGCAAACAAAATAACATTTACTTTGTAATTAGAACATTCATTGATGCTATTATTAGAATGAGAATTAGGATGATTATTATTACCACTTCCACCATTACCATCACCATTACTAATATCTAGAATATTCCATTTAATGTCCATGTTATCTCCAGGTCTATAAGTTTCATTGAATTTTGGATTTGTGATTTTTATTTTACATTTATTATTATTATTTGAAGATTTAAATGTTGGCGATATGTCACCACCACCAGCAATGATGTTAGGTGTAGTTGTAGTTGTAGTTGTAGATAACGGTATTGAAAATGTTTTCATGCTTTTTACTTTGATGGGTATCAAGCTTGATGTTATCATGCTATTAATAATTCCATCGGAAGAAGAAATTGAAATTGTTGGTGTAATTTTGGCATTGGTGATAAAAGCAATAGTAAAAGTAACAGTTAGTATTATCATTAATGTTATTTTTATTATTTTTATTTTCATTTTTTGAATAGATTAATCAAACTAAAAAAAAATTTTTATAAAATATGTTAATATATACAACAAAATGATATAATCATTTTCTCAAAGTTATAATATGATCTAATTGATATCATTACCATCAATCAAATGAAAAAAAAAACTCGTTTTATAATTCATGCACTTTGTAAATATATATTTTTAAATAATATAAATATAACAATATTATAATATGAAAATAAGTTTGATAATTAATTATCAAAATGAAAAAATACAATTATAAATCAATTTCTATTATTACAGTGTTATTAACAATTTATTTAATTGCAATTACAAATTCACAAAAAATTTCTCCTATTCCTCCACATCCTTCCACCACCACCACCTCACCCCTACCTTCTCTTAATCAACAGCAACAACTAACTCCTAATGATTTCAATAATTTACCTGGAAATCCAGATCCTGGTCAAGTTAAAATACTTACTGCTACAACAATTAAACATACTGGAATTCATAAACCAACTGAAACTCCTGTCAGTGATAATAGCAACAAAAACGGCAAAAGTGACGAATCACTTGGAAATAAAACTATTTTTAATGAAGCTCTATTCATTGGATGCTTTCTTGCTTTGGTGTTCGTGACGATTATGTAATACATTTGGTACTTTATTGTTCTTAAATTTACAAAGAGCTAATAAATAAATAAAATTGACACCCAAGTAATAATAATGCTAGGACTATGCAAACATGAAACTTATAAGGAACAAGTTGGAAAGCCTCACAAGCAGAATTGGAAAATAAAACCATGCATGATGTTTTTGTTGGATTTTAATCTGTGTACTCTTTCCATGTAGAACAATTTTCAAAATGGACTTGCCATCACCATGTATCCAAAAAAATTTTAGTGGTCAAGCCTCCTTTTTTTGTGTGTACATGGATGAATGTGTGCTGTGTGTGTATTGTACACGTGCACTTCTCAATTATAAATTGAAGAATTCCTTAAAAGTCATTGATAAAAAAAAATGAAATGAATAAATAACTGGTATTGATCACGGCTACCAGATTTAATAAGTTTCTTATCACAAATATGTGGTTGGATGCTCTTGAAACGCTTCGTACTCATGGGATTTTTCTTTCCCATGTGTAAAGGTCCCATGTGCCGGAAGGCTTTGACAAGAAAGAAGCTTTAATGTTTGATGATCAACTGCTGCGACCAACCCCAATAAATCATTAATAAGAGTTAAAATATATATATATAATCTATATATTAAAAATCTTCATGCTCTCATCTTTGTTGTAATCATCATTGCTTATTTGTTCCTCCTGTTCCATCTCTCTTCTCTCTCATTCATAACCTATTCAAAGATCTTTTTTTTGAATATATATAACAGTTCTGGTCTTTTTTAATCATGTGCTTACAAATAAACCAATTACAATAAAATTTTTGTTTTTGAAAAATCCGGAATTCTGATTTGTTTAAAAGAAAGGATCAACATAAAAATAAATTTTTTAGATCAAAACAATCAAAAAAAAATTTTTCATTTTTAAAAAAAAAAAAATATAAATAATTGTAATATATAAAAATTTCATAATGGCCGAAGAATATAATGGTGCAATAGGTATCGATTTAGGTACTACATACTCTTGTGTTGCTGTTTGGGAAAATGAATTACGTGTTGGTAAGTTTAATTTATTAGTTTTTCTTATTTATATATACTGTTTAATAATATTCTGTAATATTTAATTAATTTTTTTAAAAAAAAAAAACAGAAATTATTGCTAATGAACAAGGAAATCGTACAACACCTTCTTATGTTGCATTTACCGAGAATGAAAGACTTATCGGTGATGCTGCTAAAAATCAAGCTGCAATGAATCCAAAAAATACTGTGTTTGATGCAAAACGTTTAATTGGTCGTCGTTTTGATGATCCTGAAGTTAAAGCAGATATTAAACATTGGCCTTTTACTGTAATTGAAAAAGATGATGGAGCACCATTAATTCAAGTTGAATATCAGGGAGAGACTAAAACTTTTACTCCTCAAGAAATCTCTTCAATGGTCTTAACTCGCATGAAGGTATGAGAATTGCTCTCTTGTAATATAGATGTGTGTGTGTGTGTGTGTATAGTTCTCAGATAATATATATGTACTCACACACACACAAACACATTTATAAATATTTTAAATTAAAAAATATTTTATAAGAGATTTTATTCAAAAATTATTATTATTATTATATTTGCTAGTAATTGTACACAACATCTGATATCAGCAAATTCCTTATATATATGTATATATATACTACTAGGACATAGCTGAATATAAACTTGGGAAAAAAGTAAAGAAATCTGTTGTTACAGTTCCTGCATATTTCAACGATTCACAACGTCTTGCAACGAGGGATGCTGGTAAAATCGCAGGACTTGATGTTCTCAGAATTATCAATGAACCAACTGCTGCAGCTATTGCTTATGGACTTGACTCCAAAGATACATCAGAAAAAAATGTTTTGATTTTTGATTTGGGTGGTGGAACTTTTGACGTATCACTTTTAAATATATCTGGTGGTGTTTTTGCTGTAAAAGCTACAGCTGGTGACACTCATTTAGGCGGTGAGGATTTTGATAATAACCTGCTGGAACATTTTAAACAAGAATTTAAACGTAAACATAAACATGACATATCTGGTGATGCTCGTGCTATCAGACGTCTTAGATCTGCATGTGAACGTGCCAAACGTACATTATCCTCATTAACACAGACCACCATTGAAGTTGACTCTTTATTTGATGGAATTGATTTTCAAGCAACTCTTACAAGAGCGAAATTTGAAGAATTAAATTATACATTATTCAATGGAACCATAGAACCTGTACGTAAGGTATTAAAAGACGCTAAAATGGAAAAAAAGGGCATTAATGAAATTGTTTTGGTCGGTGGATCAACAAGAATTCCCAAAATCCAATCACTTCTTCAAGAATTTTTCGATGGAAAAGAATTAAATAAATCTATTAATCCTGATGAAGCGGTAGCATATGGTGCAGCAGTACAGGCAGCTCTTCTCACAAATCAAGCCAGCAGTGATAAAACACAAGATCTGTTGTTATTGGATGTGGTACCTCTTAGCTTAGGAGTTGAGACACAAGGTGGTATCATGACTATAGTTGTACCTCGTAATACACCGATCCCTACAATCAAAAAGAAAATATTTACAACGGCTGATGATGGACAAACGATTGTGGAATTTCCAGTTTATGAGGGCGAAAGACCTATGTGTCGTGATAATAATCTTCTTGGATCGTTTGAATTATCAGGAATTCCACCAATGCCTCGCGGCGAAGCAGAGTTAGAGTGTACTTTTGATATCAATGCTGATGGTATTCTAAAGGTGACAGCCAAAGACAAAGCAACTGGTCGTAAAGCAAATATCACTATTTCAAATTCTGCAGGTAGATTATCAGCAACTGAAATTGAACGTATGATTACTGAATCTGAGAAATTTAAAGAAGAAGACAAACAAAGTCAAGAACGTGTCGAAGCTAAACAAGAACTTGAAAATTATGTTTATCAGGTAATCAATTAGCTAGAATGAATTAACGAATAAATGAATAAATATTAATTCATTATCAATTAATTGATATTTAGATTGAAAATACACTTAATGAACCAAATGTTGCTTTGAAATTAAAACGCAATGATAAAGAAACAATTGAATCTGCATTATCAGGTTATTTTATTTCCTTTTTTAAAATAAAAATTTATAATAATACTAACAATAAATTTTTATTTTGCTTTTCAACAGAGGCTCTTGAATGTCTTGAACTTAATGGTGATAATACAGTTGCGAGTAAGGAAGAAATAAGTAATGCAAAAAAGAAATTACAACGTAGTGTCACTCGTGCGTTTGCTTCTCTTAATCGTTAAAAATAAAAACTAAATACAATGATAATTATGTACAATCTTAGATAAATTTATGTCTAATTCTGTAAATTAATATTTTTTTTATATAAAATAAAATTATTTAAAAAATAATGAATTTATTGATAAAATAGGCCGCCATAATATTTAATATTCATTACTGTATATTAATTTATATTTACTTATTTATTTAATTTACGGTCGCGTTTACTTCGTCGAAAGTTTGTTTCATCGAAAGTTCATTTCGTCGAAAATTATTTCATCCTCGAGCCAGAGACCGAACGGGTTAGATGTGAAGAGTGTGGGAAGTTAGCTAAGAAATTAGGTTAGGAAAGCGAGGTGTGTGGGAAGTGCAAGGAGAAATTTGTTTAATGAAGTTTTTTTTTTGTGATGAAACAAATTTTCGACGAAATGATTGTCTACGAAATGAATCAGACCCCTTGGGATAATCTTCGTTAATTTCTACTAAATGAAGGTCTAAATGTTAACGTGTTACGAATTAATTAAATCTGCGGAATGTAACACGAGCTCATGCGTTTCGCCGATCCCGACATTTACAATTTTGGTTAAAATCAACAGTTTTAACCAATAAAAATTTACAAACAGGTTTGTGGGATCAGTGAAAACGCTGAATTAATTGTCAAAACTAATTTTCATCCAAGAATTTATAATTCTTTAATATTAAACTAAAGTAAATCAAATGGCATGATTGTTTTATGGCTATTCATATAAAGAATTTTGAAAAACAAAAACTATTGCTAAAATTACTTTTTTTTCCTAAAACAGTTAAGCACTGTCTAACCAGGTCAAAAATAGTGTTTTATACATATATATACATATCTATCAATGATTTAATTGTTAGTTTTTGTTGCAATTAATTTTATCATTTCATTCCCAAGTTTATTACTCTCTTCAAATCTATAAAAATTAAAATATCATTAAATATAAAATTTATTCCAACCAATTAAATATATTCAATCAATTAAATACCTAGGTTCAAAGAATTTTGCAGTATCCTCAAATCTTTTTTGATAAGCAACCATATTAGCAATATTCACACATTCTGCCCAACCTTTTGAAGCACTATAAAATTCCATATCATCTGCTCTTATTTCTTTACTATACAAAGCTGAATGAATTGCCCCATTTAACATCTCATCATTACGAAACAAATACTCTGTTATTCCACTTGAAGTGTGAGATGAAATAATTGAATAAATATTGAATATGAATATATTGAGAATAGACAAATGTAATTTACATACGTCCAAAGCCTAAATAATGGGGTTTGACAAACCATATGTTCATATGGATTTATTCCTAATTGATACCAACAATCAGTCTAGTGATAATAATTAAGAAGTATTAATAATATTCCTGAATTATTATATCAAATTATTAAATGTGTTATACCATTGCTAATAAAGATAAATGAGAATTTGGTTTTCGTTTTTCTTTTGGTACAATGGACAATGAAAATTTATCTAATACACGATCTGATAATAATATTGGAGATGATGTTGAATTTCCAAATATAAATTTACCAGCCTGATAATAAGAATAAGAATGAGGAAAAGAAAAGAGGATATAAATATATGAATATATATATATAAATATAATGTTTACTTCTTTAACCCTTTTGGTAAATTCTGCTTCTTTTTCTTGGATCATTAATTTAAATAAGTCTGATACAGATTGTGCATATTGTTCTATTTGAACCTTTGCACTAGGATTCATAATTGCTATTCCTACAATTATAACAATAATAAGAACAACAACAATAAATAATAGTAGTAGTAGCAGAGCAGCAGTTAATAACATAATAATAATTTTGTAACTTTAATAATTGCATTATTGATATATTTACCTGCATAAACATGCCATTTGTTGGAATAAATTCTTAATGCCATGTGAACTTTGACATTTTCTATTCCACCAACATGTTGTGGTGTTTCCCACTATCATACAATCAATAATAAAATCACATAAATATAATAAATCATGCAAAAATAACAAAAATAGTAAATTATTTACAGGAAAGGTTCTTTGAGTTTTCCAAGCAGTTCCCATACTTAAAAAGGCAACATGAGTAACAGCCTGAGTATCAGCTGTAATTTTATCATGTTCTTCATATGTCAACTCTACCATTTTTGATCCTAAACATGACAAGACTCTTTTTGTAAGTTCAAATTTTTCTAATGTTGCCTTATATCTAATCATCACCTTGTTATTTTTATTGAACAGATGATTAAATATTTTATAAAGAGGGAGAGAGAAAGACAAAGAAAATAAACATAATGTAGATATTTATATACATATATTTACCAATGGTTGACCTTTTGGATCAACAGTAGGCCCATGAAGTGAGTGGCATGAGACAATATGAACATCATGTGGCAAATGTTTTTCAAATGCTTTAATTTCAATTTCTTTCACCGATGTCTAAACTTATTTTAATTACAGTAATAGTAATAGTGTTATTATGCTATTATCATTGTAATTATTGTTAATTTCATTATATTTTTACCTGTCCAGCAACAATTGCTTCAATTTTTGTAGCTATATTTTTTTATTTGATGATCATGATTAAAATTTTTATTACAATCTTGTTCATTACATATTATATATGTCATATTTACATGGCCCATATTCAGCAACTACTTGATCAATCTTTCCCGCCTCAACTGAATAAATAATAAAGTCACTTCTTCGGGAAACTGCATGTCCATCTTTAAGGACACTCAAGCCACTACCTAAATAAAATATTTTAAGTTATTTTCAAATTGAATTTTCTTTAATTAATTTTGTAAATACCTTTTAAATCCTTTTTGAATTCTTCGTATTTTGAAGGTATGTCACAAACATTAACTCTAAAAATAATAGAATAATGAAAATTAATAAATTATTATCCTTTATACTGTAATAATATAATACAAACCTTTTCCATCCTGCTTTCAATATTCTGTTGGCATACATTAAACCCATTCCACCCAAACCTATAATACCAATTTCCGTAGTTTCTTTTTCTGTTTCAATTGATTCAGACATTTTTTTCCAATCAATTGAATATTTTTTTAGATCTTGTTTATCGCGAAAATCTTATCATTTAAACGCCACAATTGTACTTCCAACAGTCTCTCGCAGTACTCGCAGTAATAGTTAACAACTTTTGGTTAAGGATATTAATATGTATGGTAGGGGAATAAATTTCCAGAGATGGTACAAGATAAAATCAATTGCCGGGTTATATAATATTAGTTACAGTTTACGTCATATCTATACCGTAACCACCCCGGGTCAGGGCGCAAAACTATAATAACAATTCCGATAATAATAATAATAATAATAGGATTCCGGTATAAATTGTATATACCGTTGGTTGGTATATACCACTAATATATAATAAAACTGATTTTCTACATTGATAGGGGGAGACCACTGCCAAACATTGCTAGAGATAAATAATTGTTCTAATTCTTTAATTGAATATTTATCAATGAATCCCTCCACAAACATTATAAAAATAAGAATTCCTAGATGTGGGAATACTTGCATCTAATTTGTGAGATAAAAATTTTTAAAAATTGAATAATTCCCGGCACATAGGCTCGCGATCTATTCCGAACACTGACCCTTGTCTAGCGGACTTAATATTACATAGCTATTACAATTATAAGGAAAAAACTATCTGATCTGTTCCTTACTGGCTGGCTGCAATGGTAAGAAAAAAAAAATTTTTTTTTAAAAAGCTAATTCTAAACTACATTTATACCCAGATTACTATTAGAAAGAGGTTCGATTTAATGTCAACCATTCTGTTACGCATATGATACCCTTTTTTAAACATATTTCAGATAATCATGATAAATATTGTCATTACCCTTGAAAATTCTCTGAAATAATGCAATTAGAAAAAGACTCATTAAACCTAGGTACTTCTATTAATAACAACATCTTGCAAATATCTGCCAATTTTGTCCAGTCATCTTCAAATTTCCAAAGTATTTCTAACTTGTAAATTCTTTCAACAATATACTTATCTTTACCAGCCAAGCATACTCTCCAGAGTCCACCTTGATTTCCTGGTTTATTGTTAAAAAGTCAGCACTGAAGATTTATCTTCAACAGAAAAAAAGGCAATACAATTTTGAAAACTTAAGGTTGCTTGCCAAAACTCTAATAAACAATTAATGTGTAACCTGGTGAAACTCTGTCGATTGACTCCTGGAAGAGTTTTGCCCACAACCTTAAACTATGTACAATATATACTAATACGTGATATATTTCCTGGAAATTTCCACATCCCCTTGCCTATTAGTCCAGAACCTCTTGCAATGAGTATCAACTGCATTGCGAAATGATTAGAAAGTAATTTAGTCATTTTAATTTCTAAAAATCAAAATTTTCAAAACAATTGTAATATTTGCATGTTTATCATTTTTTGGTGGGCATACCTTTTCAAAAACCAATCTTTCTATCATACTATTTTTCACAAAAAGTACACCATCACATTTCCCAGTCAACCTTCTTAATAGATTTATATACATTCTGTCTTCTTCATTTTGATGATGGATGTATCATTTCACACCATGAATTTGTAAATATATCAGGTCCTTTGTTTTTCAACACCTCGAAACCTGGAGCAATCCATGTTGCTGTATATGTTGCCTCACTCATATTTTTGTTAAATTTCAACTTCCATTTATAAGCCCTAAGAATTTGGAATTGTATTTAGTGAACTAAATAAGACAATCATATAGAAACATTATATACAATATAACATGAATAAAATAAAGAGAATTGAATAATGAATGCCACTGCGAGCATGCAATCTGAGTTTCCTATTGAATAGGTTATTCTGATGTTCAACACACAGTCAGGACTTACTTTGCCCACTGAATTACAGTTGATTCCACTACCTTACAACCCACTGTCTGGATAAAAGATCCCCAAGTTAGTATATCCATTTATATTCCAAAGGTGTCCCCTTGGCAATATGTTTAATAATTAGAAGGGTTCCCAACTAATAATTAAAGGTTGGACTAAGGTTGTGGGAGAAACTCCTCCAGAAATCAATCGACAGAGTTTTGGCAGGTTACACATTAATTGTTTATTAGAGTTTCGCATTTGGGGTTTTCACCAATCATCATAGTTTTGACAGGTTACACATTAATTGTTCATTAGAGTTTCAACAGAGTTTCAACAGTCATTAAGAGGTTTCGCCCACAACCTTAGGTCAGATGTCTAAAATCAACAAACCTCCATCCAGAAAATATAAAAAAAATTTGCATGTGTCAATCATAAGTTTAATAATAAAAAGTGTAAAACTTACATCAGTGCCTAAGATTTACACAATATTATGTCAGCAACATAAGATTTACACAAATTTATGCTAAATTAATTACCTGATGTCCATCAGAGAGGGCTAAACAAGAATAAATAAATTTCAGTAAAACTTGAGATAGAAACAAATGCTAATAATCAATTTCTTACGAATAATAGCCCTTTTCTTCATTCCTCAACTTATCAAAATTCTCTTTGATAAATGAAAATAATTCTTCACCTTTGTTTGTTGATATTTCCAACACACTATTTAATTTTTGAATATATCAAAGTAATTTTCATCATTGTCCTCTATTAACATTATATAAATCAAATAAATATAATTCATATAGAATACTTGGGATTGAATCTTTCCAAAAAAAAATCAAATAGGAAAAAAGGCATTTCAAAAGTTTTGAAAACAAATATTACCAAGTTTTTTATGCAATTTATTCTGTGGTAATAGCTCAACCTCTGGGAAAAAAAAAGTTATATATTAAGCCTTTTTTTTTTTTTGATTTGCAATAACTCTTAAGTTTTGAGTCAATTATTTATTTAAAAATGTTTAAGAGTATTGTAATATACAAAATATTCCGATTCATCATTTTCTATAATTCAAAAGATTTTAAATAGTGATATAATTAATTAAAACTAGAGTGAAAATAACCACCATTCTTATAATAAACCCTTACCCTCTTTCGACCAGTTCATTTTCTTGTTTTCTTTTTTTTTTGTATTCTTTGAAACAGTGACATTTTAAAAGAGTTATGTTGAAAAAAAAAGAAGAATCATGTTATATATTATTATTGGCAATTGGTGTTGTACAGAGACTTTTTTTTTGACATAATTGTTTTTTTTTTTTTGGAAAAACAATCTTATTTTTTAAAGATGACAAAATGCAGGTCTCCTAAAGAAGACATGTTAATAAGTACTTTTTTTTTAGCTATTATAAATATTTTATTTGATCAAAATATGGAGTAGATCTTTGCTGGGTAATTATAAAATCCTTATTAAGATGGTCAATGATTGGTATTTTGCTTTGAATAATCATTAATATGGTCAGGGTTATTACCAAATATGGAATTTCTAAATACTGTAATAATACAGATAATCTAGAAATCTTTAGAAAAAATTTTTTTATGCAGATCTTTTCTTTGAAAATTAAGAATAATGCTTTTTTACAAAGAAAACTTGGTGAAGGCTTTATTAAATAAATGTCCATATAACCTCCAAAATTATGTATTACGTTTATTTTTAACTGCTTTACAAGCCTATCAAAAAATAATCAATAGCTTCAAATTATAATCATAAAATTACCATAAAACTCAACAACTTTTTTCATGCAAGTATAATTTGTGCTTATTATTAATATTATTTATTAAATATATAAATAAAAGTATTTCTAAATCGTTATACTTGCTGAATATTTTGTCAGTTATTCATAGTTATATAGCAGTTGACTGAAGTGTTAAAAGCAAGATCTATGTAACTTGCAAAGTGATATACTATATATACTAAATATATATATATATGTATAATTAAAACTGTTAATAATCATTAACAGTGTATAAATTTCAGTGCAGATTTTTATAAATTTAGGAACTATCTGCAGAAAACTACTAATGTATGATGTTACACTCACATTGAATTTTATATACTGATCATTAATGAAACTTTAATCAAAAATCAACAAATCTTTCTTTTCTTCAAGTTAACTGACATTTTGTTAATAGCCATCCTTGAAAGAAGTCCATTATACAAATTCATTTTTGTTTGAAAATATTAAGTAAATATCACAAAGTTAATAAATTTGCTTGATACAACTTTCTAATTCATCCAGTGATATATTATTATGTCAATTTAGGTAAAATGTTTCATTATAAAAAAAATTAATACTTTTCTATAAACAAATTCTAAAATAAATATTTAAAACTTGGAAATTAGAACTTAATATTGCATCAATTATTATTATGTAAAAAAAAAATCAAGTCCAAAGATTGAATTGTGCATATCCAAATTTCTTAATTGGGACATACTGCAACAAAACCAGACAAAGTGAATATTGGTATTACCAAGAATTTCAGGGATTAATAATTTGTTTAACATCACAATTCCAAAAATTCAGTAAAGATCGAGTTGCAATGATTGCATTGTAACTGGCGCTATTTTTTTTTTAAAAATACACTTTTTTTAATAGCAACTACAGTCCACTCTCTCTATAATGAACCCTTTGCCCCTATATGTAATTTTTCTGCTTTTGTTCGTTATAGGGGGAGTTTACTAAGATGTTCGTTATAGAGAGAGAAATTAATTATAAAACATTGAATCAGGGACAAAAGTGAAGTTCGTTATAGAGAGATTTTACTTAGTGCTCATTATAGAGAGGTTCATTATAGAGAGTGTGGACTGTAGATGGTTAATAAATAGTTATTTTTTACTTATGTAATAAAATATATGTGGTTTTGCAATTAGCTACGAAAAATATAAATTCTTTCATAGAGGCGATCTCAATTTTAGCATGGGATCAACTCAAGTATTACCTAGGGGTAAGTAAATAAGTGGGGGACAACTCGATGTTACACATATAGATTTTGTGAATCCAAAACTGTCACGCACTATGAAATTACTAGTATTTAT